ATACTCAATTGTTGAAGATTTGCTACATGTCAAATCAAATATTACTATAGGACAATTAGCAAATATACCTAAATTCAGAAATGAATTAAGGAAAGCCATAACTCCAAGGCGAAAGAGAGATCCTAAGAAAAAGGAAAAGAAGGATGGAGAAGAAGCAAATTTAGGAAGCACTTCCTACTCTAATACCCCTATGATTTGTAAAGGACAAGTAGGAGGATGGACCATCGATATTATCTTGGACAGTGGTTCATCTACAAGTATAATCTCAAAGAAATTCCTTGAACATTTAAACAAAACTGCAACCCGTAAATCAGATAGAATGATCACTGGTATACATGGTAATAAAAGGTCTAGCTTGGGAATTATTGACAATATTGCAGTTCACATTGGTGATGTAGTAGTATCCACCGATATGGAAATTATTGATACAGTATCCTATTCCATGGTATTGGGAACTGATTGGTTACGAAAGGCCAATGCAGTAATAAACTATAAAGATTCCCAAGTAACCATTTCTGATAATCATAGAAGAGCCCAAGTTTCTTGCAGGAATTCCACTGCACCACCTCAACCAGTAATAAATAATGAGGAGGATTCTGATGATGATGACTATGAATATGAAGAAGATGAAGATGAAGATGAGGATGGTAACCTTGTCTTAATAGTAAATAAAGAGGAAAGTCCAGATCAACACTTTTACAAGTTTACACCTTGGAGAATTGAAATTGATCATGAAACCTTTACTTGGCAAGAATACGATTATATGAATCGACAATTTAATCCCTGGTTAGCTAACCAAAGATATCGACATCAAGTTAAACATTGGTTTGAGGGACCTGATAAGGAATGTTGGTACCAAAAACAATTACCAACAGGAAAGGATAAATATAATAATTGTTATGAAAATTATTCCCGCTGGGAAACAATTCAAATAATCCCCGTTCAAGAAATTAAAAATGCGCAATCCTTTTTGGTAAAGGGAGGTGCAGAAGAGTTAGCTCAAAATGAATATAATTATATTGTTCAAGATATATTTGAAAATTATCCAAATGTTATAGCCAAAGATTTAACTCAACTAGGTCGTACTAACATCGTGACCCATCACATTGATACTGGAAATACTAAAGAAATAAAACAACACTATTACAGAACTTCCCCCAAACATGAGTCTTTCATAAAGGAGGAAATAGAGCGTCTCAAAGAGCAAGGACTTATAGTACCTTCTCACAGCCCCTGGACTTCTCCTGCGCTTGTAGTTGGCAAGGCAAATGGAAAAATGAGACTTGTCATAGATTACCGTCAATTAAACAAAGTAACAAAACCTGA